ACAAGGACGCTACTAGCGGCTCACTACAAGGAGCAAGGACGCTACTACCAGGAGCAAGCACAATCAGAACCACCGCCGCCGACACCCAATCTCACGTTTCCCTTTACCTCTGCCGCCCTCTAGGCCCCCTGTTGGCCCGCTGTCAGGCGTAAGCCCCTTCATTTCCTACTTCGTAGAAGGAGAAACGCTCCGCGGGACACGGACAGGTGGGCTTCTGTCCGGATTTGGTGAGCTCCATTTGGCAGTTCCCAGTGTCCATCCCCATTGCAACCATCATCGTCTTGATCACCAAAAAAACCTGAATGAAGGAATGCACTTGACCTGCAGTTGGGCTTTTAAACGAACGACCCTCAACAAAGCGACTGGCCGCAGAACACCGGACCCGCAGAACGCGGGAAGCGCGCTCCTCCATGGGAACGCCCCGAAAGTAGGCGAGCAAGACCCGGCAGACCGCCTAGATCTCCGCTACGTGCGCACCACAACTCTGGGCAGCAGCGGTGGAAAAAAATGGATGACCCATTGGTAGCAGTAGTGGATGACCCAATTACCCAATCGATGATACTTCCATAGACTTCTAATAACATTGACATACATTGACATAGAAACTTGCAAAGCTTCACCGAGCTGCGCACCAGGAAGTGACCAACGCGAAGCGAAAACGCACGAAGCGAAGCGACCATGTGGAAGCGATGCGTCGGTTTCTCTGCCGAACCACGGATCAGAACGGACCTCGCTGACGAGTGGAGAACCAGCCGGATCAGTCCCGATCAACCAGCCGGATCTGAATCGACGAGTGCGGCTACGTTCTTTTTTGTTTCAAGTGCGATCACTCTAAGTCTCTTGAATGCTCTTGAGTTTCTGTGAGACTGTTCATGGACAAAACCTGGAAAACCCTCTAAGTGGACCTGATGTTGTCATACCAACGGATCCAGGAATTCTTACGGTTGATGGCACTGAAAGTTGGATGGGATACCTGCGTGAGATCTGCAGCGCTTCCTCCCCTGCCGCAGCCTTGTCGCAAATCAAAAGGACGTTGCCTCAGCACAAACATGTCCCAATCAATTAGGACCACTCAGGCTCTATGTCGACATACGGTCATGCTGCCCCTCTTCCAAACCAACATGTTGGAAAATGCAAGGCATGCTCCCAACAGTCCGTGACAAGCACATAATGCGGAGATACGCAGAGTTTACAAGCAAATGTCGATAAGCTGCCAGCAAAGAAAGCTCTTGACTTGACACTAAATTGACTAATAATGACATTGACGAGACTTTGATTCCCGGATTCCCCCACTCAAATCACCCGAGATATTGGGCCACCGTGCCCATGAACTGTTCAAGCCGCAGCACTAAGTAGGTGAGCCGGAAGACAACGTCCTGACCGGAGCGGCCCGGCTTGACTGGTCGACAACAATTGGATTAATTGAAATACCTAGATCTTCCAACTGTGCAAAATTTATACCTTTTAGTTGATTTAATGGATGAAAAGGCAGAAATTCTGCACAGTTGGAAGATCCAGATATGGTCTCACAATGCTTACCTGTGTGTGTTTCTTCAGGCAAAAGCTGGTCGCAATCATCAAAGGCTTGAAACTCGGCTTGTCTCTCCTCTTTTTCCGGAAGAACTAGTCACAATCATCAAAGGTTGGCTAACTCCGTTTGTCTCTCATTAATTTATATTATAGATTAATGTTGTTATTTTCTTTCTGTATTTCTGTTTTGCTTTGGGTCTTTCTTTCTTCTTTTCGTTCATTCGTTCGTTCGTTCTTTCTTTATTTCTTTCTTTATGTATTTCTTTCTTTATTTATGTCTTTCTTTCTTTCTTTCTTTCCTTCCTTCTTTCTTTCTCTCTCTCTATTTCTCTCTCTCTCTCTCGTCTGTGCCTGGTAGCTCTCTCCGCCAACCCCTGGATATCTGTAGTTCAGCTTGTCCAGTGCTCGTTCTTGCCACTCCTGCCACTCCGCGCGACATGAGTCGTTTTCTCGTCGCGTCAACGTGACTCACGTCGGGGTTGCGACTCGGAAAAGAGCGCCCGGACGTAACATGATTTCATGTGTACCATGCAATGCATTGCTGTACTGCTTGTCGCTTGCAGATTCTCTCCTAAACAACTGGATCAAACGAGGGAGTCACGAGTCACCTGGGTGCCCGATACCTAATAGGTCTACACGGTCCAAAGCTCCAAGTATTGTTGAACCTTGTCCACCGAAAACGAAAACCTGGCTCCTGGCCTTACGACTAGTAACAAGAAGCTACTAGGAGCTCCTGGCATCGCTACTAGGAGCGATCGGAGGCTACTAGCGGCTCCTGGCCTTACTAATAGTAACCTCATGCCTTCTCACAGATGTGAGACTGCCGCACCGGCGTGAGAAGCAAACGACGAGCCGCACCGTCTGTCTCATCTGCCTCTCTGACCTCTGAGCCCCATCTGTTACTGACGAGCCTATACCAGGAAATAAACTCAGACTGCCAAGGACTCTCTCTAAGGTCGTCTGCTATCTCTGACCCCCGTCCTTCACAGATTTGGAGTTCTGTACGCTCCTCCTTGTTTTCTTTTGAACGGATTTGTCGAACCGTCATATACCCATCCTCCGGGTAGATCTCTTGCATGTCCTGCACAGGTCACCCGAAGCACCGGACCCGAAAAAACGCCTGCGGGGCACTGGGAAAAGTGCACCATGGAAGTGGATGGCATCAGTGGTGGGAAGACGATCTTCCTGAACATGCCTCCATGTTTTCCAGCATGTCCATGTCGGTGAGTGTCAGAGCTTGATGTTGGACAAGGTGATCCATGGGAGTTCCTACTTTAAAAGGCATTGGGGCCCGCTCTTCGACGATGGTCCCAATGCAATGCAGCGGCTATTGAAGTTGGGATCTTTTTAGATGATCTGGACATACGAAAAACATGTGTCTGAATCATCGAACCCATACACACGAAAACGGCATTAAGCAAGCATTTCATCACATGTCAAGCGTCTCGTCCTTATAGGAGAGGCTATCCAGGAGCCCGGCACAGAGTTCATTGAGTCGCGCCAGCTTTAAGACCTGGGCAGACTCAGCTGAAACCCCGGACCGGCGAGCCGTTTGTGGCGCTGGGCGCCGCGTGGTGCTGGGCGAACTGGGATGATCCAGTGTTCAAGTTCCGGAACAAAGTCCTTCAGTGTCAAGCTTGGGGTCACCCACTTGGCCGAGCACTCTTCCTAACTGTCCAAACCATCTGATTGTATAGAACACATCTAGGTGTCCTTTCATAAATGCAACTCGCGAATGACCTCACTAGTCACTATTCCTTTTTGTTTTTGTTGCCCTCCGTCCTTTGGTGTGAACACCATTGTGATTCCCGTGCCACTGGCACCCTGTACTGAGCACAGTTTGAACACTGTGTGCTAGAAACGGCGACTACAGTTCAGACACAGTGTCATGCAGTCATGGAGAAATTGGAGATCATTGAAAGGCGGTACGGTCGGCGCCCGGAACAAACAAACACAAACTGCCCAACTAGTTCCTTCCTTCTGTCCTCCTGTCCATCCCTTCATCCCTTTGTCTGGTTTTGGTTTTTCCATCCTCATTCCAGGATTTTTGTCCTTGATGCATGCGGCATCTTGCGGCCTTTGTGCATGTGTGGTTGTTTTGATGCGCCTGGCGGTTTGATAGGTCAACCTGTTTCCAGCGAAACAAGCGGTTCCAATTGGAACACCTGTTCAATATGAACCCCATTGTGTCGCTCCGAAACTACCAAGCCGAGGAATCAAGTGGCCGTTGGGAGCGTTTGCGCACGTACCTTACTTTACGTCGAGTGATCCCCACCCTGAAAGGCGATTTGTGCGGATTGACATGATGTTCAGACCCTGGTTCTGGCATCAAATCTGGTTTGTGCTCTGACAAGTCTATCGTACAGGCTGGGAAACGTTCTGGACTGTGTTCTGACATCTCTGACATGTTTCCTGTCTGACATGTGCTGTGACACAAGGATCAACTTCAGTCCTGGTATGTGCTCTGACATGTACTCCGATGTTTGTTCTGCCATCCAAGATATCCTGGCATTCTATCTGGCATGTAGTCTGAGTTCTATCTTGCAAGCTTGCTGGCATTCTACCATAGCTGCTTGCGTTTTATCTGGCATCACTGCTGGCAGTCTATCTGGCATATACTCTGGCCTTCTACTTGGCAAGTACTCTGACCTTCTATATACCTGGCGTATGATTCTATCTGGCAAGGTCCGGCGGTGCCCACTGTGATCTGAGCTGGCGGTTGAGGTCCGGCAGTGCCCACTGCGATCATGCATGTGCAATTGAGGTATAGCCCATTGCGATCTGGAGCTGGCAGTTGAGGTGCGGGAAGACGAGGAGAGGAGGAGAGGAGGAGAACAGGAGAAGAGAAGAGGAAGGAGAAGAGCTCTGATCAAATCTAACAACCCTCACCTGGCAGGTGCGGAATTGTTTCCCTGAGCCCCTGGCAGTTCTGCAGTCATTGCTGCTGCAGCCATTCACACCCTGCCAACGAGGGAGGGAATGAAGACCCTGAATCCACGGGGTAAGGGACCATGGGATGCTCCAGGTTCAAGCTCAAAACGTGACAAATGCAAAGGCATGGAGAGAAAGACCACACATTCAAAAAGAACATCGACAGCCTGGGCCTGGATCTAGTTTCAGAAATCCTACCTTTTGTACGGGCAAGATAGCCCCTCGATTGCTGTGGCGAGGGGAGGTCTGACGTGGACACCCTCGAACAATAAAGCCAAGCTATTTGACTAAACTAAACAATCATTTATGTGCACCCCCACCTCCGCAGTATTTCTCAAACGTTTTTGGACAATCCTTACTACAGTAGAAAGGTACCCCCCCAGGAAACACAAAAACTAATGGGTCATCCAGTAAAGGTACCGACACGCAAACATCGCCTCCTTCCAACATTCTCATCAAAGGTTTCGCAAACAACACATAGACGCAGGATCAAGGAAAACACATGTGCACTAATCAAACTCTCACCCTCTGGTCTTGTGGGGAAAAGCACTTGTACCGCATGATGTTGTTCCGAAACAATTATTTTGGCGGTGGGGGACCCTCACTGGACACCCTAGCTACCAAACGAATGGCAGGCGATGCATGCGGTTTGTACTGAATACAGTAATGAAAACTATTCTGAGGTATGACGATGACCAATCCATTAAGTTTAATCTGCAGTAAAAACTGTTATCCAAATCAATATTATTACCTTTTAACACCATCAACATGTAAACAATTTTGACGACCTAATATCTGTCTCATTCAGAGGTCCCCACCACCCAACCCAAAAAATCAATTATATATGACGTGCAAAGAATATTTCTAGAAAGATCTTTGGAACATATTGGAACAGTCACCCCTATCCCTTAAATGATTTCTGGAGGCAGCAGCCATCAAGCAAGTATATATATATATATATAATAAATCAAAAACATCCTGAAGGTCAACTGGTTCATGGTTTGCATGGAGATCATGACTTGACTGTCTTCAACTTGGAGTTGGCACAGAACTCAAGCAGGGGTCACACCGCCCAGGTGGCTCCAAATGAAAATACCAAGCTCCGCGCCATCAGTTGTGAAACTGCACAGTTCCTCACAACATACAATATTTGTGGCATCTAGCAACACAAGTTCGGCACTGACAGCAACAAATAAGGTTGCTTCATTCGCGCATGAGCTTGCTTCAGTGAATAGTGGCACACAACTTGCCAGCAGAAAGGCTTCACCAGCTGTGAAAAATTGCAACAGGCCAAGAGCAAGAACAGCAGCTAAGCTCCAAAAACGAAGCTCGCTAGTTACAATCACACCAGCTACAGCCCATGATCCAGGCGAGAGTGAAAGCTCATCCCGAGTTGGGACAATACACAAAGCTTGCGATGCAACAGCAAGTGGACAATGGACAGCGGCGGCCCCGGCGGCCGCAATGATAGGAAAATTGACGGAAGATTGGGTGAATCTCAAGCATTTTAGAAGCACATAAAGATCCCTGCAACTGGATGGGGCGAGTTTACATCTGCATCACATGAACATCTGTTGGCTCATTATTTTCTGATTGAATCACTTGCACAACAAAGGTTCAAACTCTGCAGGCATGATCCAAGGGGGAAGCAATCAAATTGAGTAGAGACTTCAATTCGTTGATATTCATGTTTTACGTGAGTACTCTGCGCCACGCATTTCAAGATTGCATAACAGTGTGAGCTGACAAAAAGGTAGCTATGGCTATATCTGCCTAAGCCAAACATTGCCATCCAGGCGGCTACATCACCGGGCTCAACAACTCAACCTTCTTTGTTGATACAGATCCCTGCTAGACCACCACAATGCCCATGTCTCTGGGTGCTTTTAGTGGTCTTGAGGCAATCCGAATCCTGTTTTCAACTGTGATTAATGTTGCCTCCTCTCAACCTTGCTACCTGTAATAGCTTAAATTGTAATCAAATATAATCAACACATATCAATTCAACACTCTCATGTCTTTGTATCAGCGCTGCATGTGACAACCAATAGCAAAGGTAACCGGCTCGTCGGCCACTCTGCGCTGAAGGCCACTGAAAAACTACACCATGAAATCTGCTCAAGCAATACAAAGCAACCTATCTTGAAATTCCCAAAACAATCTCAACCCAATACTCCGAACTCCGAACACAAATTCGGTTGAAGTTGACCCCACCGGCACTGGCAAAGTCACCACGGTTTGCCAGTGGTTCCTCTTCCTGCCTTCAAGGCTTCCACGGTTTGCAAGTGCCGCGCTAAGGTGCCACACATCACCTGGAGATGGAGAGAAGCCGCCAAGCGCTGCGCGGAGGGCACACGGGGCGCGGAGCCATGTCCCAAATCTCTCTGGGACAGTTCAGGTGTCTCAAAAGCTTCAAGGAACTCAACGGGACCCTCATCAGACTCACAGGTTTCCTGGAAGTGTTGAAAGACTTGAAGCTTGAGGGGCGGGAAGTACAGGTTTGAAACACCAAACCGCCAATTTGTCATAATATGTCCTAATGATTCCATCATACATACACTTTTAATCACCCTGGAATTTTATGAACTTCTCTAAAGGGCCGCCGAGATCCAAATTTTGACTTCCCAACCATGCCGATGTGAAACATCATCAACAAATCGCTGGTACTTCCTGCGAAACGTGCCGAACATCCTAGCTTCTCATGTTCAGAATCCTCCAAAACCAAGTTCCAAATCCAAACACTCCATGTAATGCATAGAATGTTTACCTACAACATTGACCCCCTTTTTCAACGATAGATCTATGCCATGTCCCATTGGTGGTGTCTAGATGCTTCCACCCTCCGCACTTGCGGGTCGATCCCCTCCATTCCGCACCACCGGATGTCCACGCGTCCTTCGAGTCCTGAGAACGTCTCGAGTCCTTCAAGTCCTTCGGGTCCTTTCGAGTCCTTCGAGTCCTCCGATGGCGCGTCTTCCTATCGACGTGACGCTGGGACTGCCGATGTCGATCAGTTGGGGTGGTGCCAGAGGGGTTCTGTCTGGGGCAGCATAGGTTCCATGGAGTGGTATAGGTTTCATTGTCCATTCGTGCCCCGCCCACACCCATTGCCCGGAGCGCACCAGCACAGGCTTTTTGGCCTGCCGCTCGCACTCTGCCACCAGTCCTCGAAGTGTACAGGGATGGTGCGACAGTTCGGTCTGAACTGAGTCAGACCTGGGGGGAGCGTGAAAGCATGTGATGGGGCCCTGATCCGCCCTGAGGGGTACCAAAATGGAGCAATGTAGGTAGCTTTGGTACTTCTGACTCAAAGAATGTAGTCGATGACTGGCCATACACTTTGGATCACTCAAAAGGTGAGATGAAGAGGCTCGTCATGGTTATGGAGTTCCATGTCGCTCTTTTTCAGCCAAGAGCAGGTGGTGAACAGGGGAAGAACATGGAAGAACCCTTGAGCTCTCACGAGTTGATTGTCGCTGATGTCAATCATTGCTACACAGCTTTGTTGTGCTTGGCTGACCTGTGGCAAAAGAGGCGCAAACAACCTTTTGGTGGAAGCCTCAAGTCATGTTTCAGGCTCAACTCCGAAAAGCTGCATCCACCCAAGTCAGTTGCTCCTGGCGCTCTGCAAGACACTCTCCTGTCCTTTTTATTAAGGTTCCAGATCTGCCGCAAGACTAAGACGCCAGTTACGCCCGTTTGGTCTGAAGGTCGTGGTTGTCAATGTCAAGATCGTTGCCAAACCGTGTTGGCCAACCGCTTCAAGCGGCGATCGGTCGGTCGGCGTTCGCATCGATGGCGCGCCGAGCAATGAAAAGGGAAACCATTGAAACGGATCATCCCCTTCAGAACTCGTGGCTCACCAATTTTCCGCAGTCATGGGATGTCTGAGAACCAGCGCTACTTCGTCCGATCGGTCGGGGCAGGTCAGAGAGACCTCCAGGCCCCACACACGATTTGAGAAAGAACCCGCCACAACGGAAGAAGACACCCGTGAAGCTGCCGTGGAAGGTCCCCCCACCCTTCAAGGAGGCCGTTCAGAACACCCCCATGTCAGCCTGACTTCGACACCTGCTTCGAATCCGTACGGAGTCACGGACCTCGTCCCCCGAACCACTGCTCGTCTCTGGTCGCCAAGCAGGAAGGACACTTATTAGGGCAGAACATGGGTGAACATGGTTTTGGTGGAGAGTCGATGACAGGACTCCTGCGTTGGGGAACTCGTCCGTGACTGTGGGTCCAAACAAAGTATAGCACATCAAAATCAGGTCCTCGCAAGCACCTAGCTTTGCTTCATTTATGTTCGACACACTTTCCATTCAGGGATTCACAGTGCTGTTGCCTCTCTTTGGAAAATCACTGATTCATTCATACCTCTTCCTTGTCTCGGCCTCCGATACCGCTCGTTCGACCCGACGTCAACTCAGTCCAGCGATGGCTGCTGCATGCTGCTTACCTGGAGACGGCTTTTAAGAACGAATTCATTTCACTTCATTTCACTCTTGTCCCAGGGTTTAGGAAAAACGTCTGTCAAGGAACGCGATGTTTTGTCTCAGGAATGTTTTGACCATGGAGAAAAACAACCTATTCATGAAAACGTATGAAAACAATGAAAACCCCACGTCCAATGTCAAGGATTTGACCGCCATCATTGAATCATGTCATGTATGTTCAACCAGATCCAGATACCAAATCCTTGATATACTAAATAACCCACTGGCCGTTAGATACAGCATCCAACAGCATGTGGGGGCCTTGAATGCCATGAACCCCGTGTGTGAGGAAGATCTGCTCCACTTCTGGAGGGTAGATTTGCGAAGCACCTGGCTGACATTGCGCCATCTGTTCACCTGGCTGACATTTCTATATCTTTCAATCTATCATCGATCTTAACATTTGAGCCCGATCCAAGGGAACGGACACGACCTCCCCTCACCATCTCGCTCTTGTCTCCCGTCTTGAGCTCGTGCCTGCTTCAGTGAGCTCGGAATCGCCGCCCAAGAGGCCTTGCCTGGCCGCTCCGAGCATCACCGGTGGAAGGGTGGAAGATGTCCTTCAATTTCAGAAACCAAAACCCGCACAAATCTGGTTGGCTGGACAAATGGGGCACTCAAAGACTCTGCAGTTTTTAGACTTCCAAGTTTGATTCGTCGTGCGCAGGGTAGACAATATGAATGAAGACCCCCTAGCTTTTTGAGGCAAATGGACACGGGATCACAAAACAACCTAATCATTATAATCCTATTTTTTTGTTATCAGTTGAGCTGTCAATCATGTTTGGTACTGTTTCGCCTTTGTTGTGGCTTTTGAGGATGCTCCAAAGACATTCAAAGAAGGCCGCCACTGCAAAGCAATCAATGACCCCACAAACCCTAGCGTGGCTGCATCCTTCACAATGCTGCCACATCCAACAGGGAGTTCCTGTACAGAGTATATGAGCACTGAACATTGAAGTGATTTGGCAAGCAGAAATCAAGGAATTCACTCCTTCAACACCTACACAAATGCTTATCTATCTTTCCTTTCATGAAACGCCAACATGAACAACAATCACACAGGAATATATATGCGATACACGCTCAGTTGCCGTTGAGGTGTCTCAACACGCATGAATCAGAACACCGCCGGTCACGCGGCCGTCGGTCACATTGGTACCTCCCGTGTTTTGGTCCCCGTCTGTTTCACCGGTCTGGGCCAAATCCACTTTCTCCAGAAGAGAATGAAGGGACTGCTTGGCAAAAGCCGTTCGGCGGGTAAGGAGGATCGGCGGTTCCCCGTTCCGTTCGGCCGTTCCGTTCGGACGTTCAGGGGCGCGGGGACCTGACCTGACCTGTTTCGGTGGGGTCCAACACGATACCCCCTGCTAGTAGCCATGCCCTTGCTCCTAGTAGCTTCTTGTTCGTAAGGCCAGGAGCTACTTGCTCCTAGCGATGCCCTTTGTTACCAGTAGCTTCTTGTTACGAACGTCCACATCTTTCCACCTTCGTTCCAAGTTTGACCCGAAGGCTCGCTCGACTCGGGATTCCTCTTAATCGGCTGACGCGCCCACATGCGCCCACTGGGCGAAAAGGAGGTTCCTTTAAGCTAAAGCAAAGAAGTGCGGAGCACTGTGCGGAGCAAGGCACATAGTTTTTGTGTAGTCCGTGGAAATTCCGCACACAGGACCACCCTGCACATCCCTAGCTACAGATTCATTTCAATCCGTTTCGAGTACTTTCTGTTTGACTCGTGCCAGTTAAAGCAGTAGCTGCTCTGCAGCTTCTACTCAAGAAACGATGGACCAGGACCAATTAGAAGGATTGTTGTGGCCTGGACAGTGCTTCGTCCTTCTTCCCAAAATTGATCATCATTTTCTGGATTCAACCTAGTACAAGGAATTGCAACATATTGCAACCACTGTTTTCGATTCGATTGGTTTCGACACCGAGCCGCCCGGTTTAAGGAGCTACCTTCTAAGGCTTACACTTAATTAGACTGACCGCACCCCCCAAAAAAGAGAAAGGTTCTAAAGACCATTTTTGGACGTTCGCGCCTGTCGTGCTCGGTCTCTCCGACCATGGCAATCATGATGCAGCGCTTGCCGAGGTTGATGCTCCCCATCAGGCCGAAGATGTACCTCCAGCCGGGCACGCGGAGCGGTAAGATCCGTCCGCACAGTTAGGAAAGGAAACAAAATGAAGAAAGGGGGATCGTTGGTATGCACCCAGCTGAATGGTTGCTGTGCACTTGAACATTTGACCAAACATGACTCTAACCTTGGGGGATTAACCTTGTCCTCGATACACATCTCCAGATGAGGAACAGTTTGTGTGTGTGCACCTCGACGTCCACCATGTTGATATCAAACAACATCTTACAACCCAACAGAGTTTGAATAGATTCCAAAAGGAGCAGAAGGAAGGCTTGGGTTACATGGAACAGGGAGTTCCGCACATCATCAGAACCGCTGTGCCACACAAAAACATCCCCAAACTCCCTGGGGCCTTCAACCAATCCAAAACGGGTCGTCCGTGAGTATAGTGGGTCCCTCAGACCACCAACCAGGTCAAACGGGTCCCAGTGAGAGGGGATGCAGCGTCTGACTCTCCCGAAAGACACTTTCACCTGGGAACAGCGGAACAGCTGGAAGGGGCGTTCATGGGAGAAACACCGCGGTCGTCTTGGTCATATCAGCGGAGAGGGGGCAGCTGGATTTGAAGCAAGACACCATTTGACAAAAGCTGCAGTAGTCAGTTTCAATGCACACGGACCACGCCTGACCACGCCGTACTCGTCATCTTTGGACCGGCAACGGTAACAAATCAGCTTCTCCTCAGCAAGTTAATTGACTTCAAGGCAAATATTTCTGGGTGAGGCAATCTCTGGCCCATACATAAGGTCTATAGACGGTCTAGACTCTAGACGGTCCAGTGTGCAAGGGTTTAGGGGTGACCCCTGACGCCCCGAACAAAAAGGATGGGTAAACTCTGATTCCCTGACACGGAGGTGTTTTCCATCGACGTGCCAAGTGTCTTGAAGACTTCGCTGGACATTCCACCGGTGGTTTCTCGTATCGGAAAGCCCAGGCAAAACACATGGCTGGGCTGGAATCATTCAGCACAAACACCTTTTCGCATCTGCCAGGCGTCTGGGCTCAAAGCCGCCCAGACGCCGCCGAAACACATCATACGCCCGGCAGGATCTGGTTGGACGAAAACCAGGAATCGGAAGATTTGACCAATGTATACCAATGTAACATATATCGGCATAGGAAATTCCCAGACGACTGAGAACTGAACCAAGTGACTCCGGCATTTATCAGCTTGATGTAGCCGCATCTGCTGTCACCTGGGTCGAAGCAAGCTTCTGCAAGATCGAAGCTACACGCAGCGGTCGCTCCAGCAAGAATGTTGGGATCAACAATCCTAGTTGAGATCAACAATCCTATTTGAGCAGTTGAACACCCTCCATTCTTCCCCAAATCTATCTGTACTCAGACCGGTGACACTCATCATCCTGGACAGGCTCATAGACCTCTGCATATTGCTGAACCCGGTGCTTGAAATCCTTCAGCGCATTTTCCGCGTTCATCCCCTTATAGTCGTCGTTGTTGAGCCTCACAAGGCCCAAGAGCCGCCGGACGAGTGTGGAGCCCTGGAGAGCCCTGGAGGTCTGGGCGTGGCTTGCTGTGGGCGATGGCACCGGCATACCATGCGAACGACCCAACGGCTCGATGCGTGTGCGGACTCTGTCTTTTCGGCGCACTACACCCGTGACCCGTCTCGGTGAAACACCGGGTGTCTGGGAGTGGGGTATGTAGAACACAAAGCTGTACACATGAACATATCCAATGGATCTGCATGATTCAAATGAATTGTCTGGTGAATGAACGAACTACGGTTGACCCACCTGAAAGGCCAAGTGACATGGTGTTGGGGCTCCAGGTTTTGACTCATCCCGGAGATCAAGATCCAAGTTAAACGCAATTGAACCATGCTAAGTCACCCACGCTGTCCTCTTTGTGTCAAGTCACTTGAGCTCATAATTGCTCTCCAATATCTCCTGGCCAAACTTGTCGTCCCAAAAGCAAAAAAAAAATGCAAAAAGACCTGATCTTTTTCAGGCCATCCTCATAAGTAAGTCTTCGACTTTCTTCGGGTTGGATACTGGGACTGTGATGGCCCAGTATGACTGGGCCAGGCCCCCTCAGAAAACACTGGTCGATGCCCTGCAGCAAAGGCCAAGACGGTTTGTGAAAGTCTGCCTGAAACTCGAGCTACCCCAATCCTATCCGGTGAAAAAAGTGCTTGGTGAAGTCCTGGCAAAACGGATCATTTCCAAATGGGACTAGCGGGAAATATCAAAATGGTTAGTTAATACATGTTAATACTATAGCAGTAGCTCCTATTGCTCGGAATGGCAAAAGTAGATCCAAATAGGTTGAAATCCATGAATTGTTGGGAAGATCCCCAGTGGCGAACTGAAATGAAGAGAGACATCTGCTTCTTCATGTTTATCTAGTGCAGCAATTTGTGAGTCAACCCTTGTGACACCGCTTCCGGACAGGCTCTGTTTGGCTGTGTGAAAGATGCTGCACAAACAATCTTGGATGTCCGTTGCTTGATCCACATTATGTGGGTCACAGCTCTTAGCTTGACCCCTTACAATTACGCCGGCGACACCCTTACATAACCCAGAAATAGCAGGACATACTACTTTGCGGCGCAAACGCCGGCACTTGCGGTCCTCGTCATCACACAACGACTCCAAGAAAATCAAACGAACACCTGGCCGACCACGAACCTGCCAGGAGGCGAGAGTTGTTGTTGTGAGTTGTTGTGAGTCTGTCAATCAACAGGGTTTCTGCCTGTCTCCCTCTGCTCCGAGACACATCTCCTCTGTCGCTCGGCAGAAAAAAGCAAGCCAAGATGCAACACTAAGCAAGTCAACGCAAACAAACACTGATCTCCGCCAACTGGTGGTGAACTCAAATGTTCTATGTGTCAGCTGTATTTTTCCAACAGAAAGGTTGGGAAATGCAAACTAGCAGTGACCAGTCTCAAAGCGATAGTACTATACTCACTCAGTACAGTAGCTTGGCGTTTGAGTCTGTTTAAGGCCAAACAACTCGTAGTGATCAGGTTGTTCCCCTCCTCCCCAAGTCTTGGGACAAAGATCGACCAAGGACAAGACCTTCGGTATCCTTCGGTCATTTTGACCCAAGTCCTCGTGCAAAAACAAATCGCACGCTGCGACAACATGTGAACTGACACTCCGACACCCAAGCTACCCAGCAACCCACTGAACGAAGTGCCACTGTGGCGAAGTACGCCACAACAGCCCAAACAAATTGGCAGTTTCCATTTCCTTTTACGCTGAGCAAGGCGGAAAGAAAAACGACTTAAAACCATTTACAGTAAAGCATTAACAAAAACTGACTCCCACCGTTTCCCCGTTCCTGTTCTTGTTTAGCCGGGTGTCCCCGGCACAATCTCCTTCAACATCAGCGGCCGGGCGCCGGTGATCACTCCGCGGTTTCTCGCCTTCTCCTTGACCTTCTGCCGTCGTTCCAGTGTGGTGTTCGTGGCATCCAGGATCCTTGTGAAGAATCGAGTCAAGACCGACACTCGAGTCTTCACAACTCACGACGGTCTATGGGTCATGACATCATGGGTCCCATGGGTCATAGGTGCGTCCAAAAACAGCTGGAAAGTGTTTTTTTACAAGCTCCTTTTCGATGTTTCTTCCTCGCATGATTGGCAGAGCTTCGAGAGAAGCTTTAGGGTCAAAGAACAGGATATCCAGCATGTTCAGTCTGAGTTATCCAAAAACTGAAAGCAACAAAGATGTTCTTCCTCCAAAATCTCAATTGGGGGCAACTGATTCAAAACACCTTGAGACTTGGAATTCAGGAATTAACTTTTGACCCTACATCTCTTTGGTCTTTGGAACCCCTTTCAAGTCATCTTCCTCTTCTTAGCAAGGCATGGCGCTTAATTGGATGGCATGTTCAGAGTTGTTCTTCCAGACTCAACACCCGACATGCCAAACTGCTTGCTCTCCCCTTCAACTCCTGCCTCTTCAACTCCCCATGCCGCATGCCATGCTGTCGAAGGCTCCCCACCGCTGTTGCGCGACCACAAGCTTCCAGGAAGTCGAGGACTTGGTCGAGGCATTCCATGGCCATTTCATCCCGCATCCTGACGCAGCAGCATATGTTGCAAACCTTTTCTGGTAGAACTGTGGGCACGTTGTGGCAAACAGTGGCACCTATTTTCCTTCACCCGGCAACTTACTGCAGTGGCTGGATCGATTCACGCAGATAAGACAGACAGGCAAGCGTGAATCAACACTAGGCCCACACCCCATCCAGGCTTGGTCTCTTAACTGAATCACCAAAATATTCATTGTGCCTTTCTAGCAATCCAAACCACTTCCCTTATTCTATTGCAAACCCCAAAAAGATCCAAGTGCTCCTCTGCCACTCCTTTCGCCTCGCCTCGCCCAAAAAAAGGCCCGTGCTCACCACCCGTCTGCTCCCTCGACTCGACTGGCCTCACCTCTTTGCATCGGCGTTACTGTTGTCAAAGAAGTTGGCCTTCACCCCGCTCTTCCCGCTCTCGCGCCGTAAGTTGCCAGCATTAAAGAGCCGTGTGGGGCAGCCGCAGAAATTCCTGGCGAGACGGTTTACGCGGTTTGACGGCCTGCTGGGGGTCATATTGTTTGGCCGAACTGCTCTAATATAAAAATGATCCACCCGTTTCCTTCGCATGATCTTTGTCACTGAATTGGCTACAGGAAGAGTTACAGAAAGCCTGCATTAAACCTTGATCCATGGCTTTCTGGCAAGCTTTCCTGGAAGATCTAAACCAAATTGTCACTTGACGTGTCCAATCTGAAGCCTCTGTTCTTGCGACTTTTTCTGGCTCAAAGGAAATCCGCCATTTTCGGGTGAGTGACCCTGAGTTCCTACATCTTCCCACTGGACAAGCCATCCCAAACAATTGGCCTTGAAGATGTTTTGTAAATATTTCATACATGGATTGTTGGGGCATGTTAGGGGCATTGGATCTCCGAGAATCCTATAGATATATATATATAATCCTGCATCCGAGGTACAAATAACGTACGATGGCTTTGGAGATGTAGGACTTTCCACGTGCAGGTAGGCCCACCATCGCCAGCACCACCTCAGGGACGACTGCTAGCATCGTCGTTGTTTCGTGTCGAGAAGTGGAAATCCACTCGTCCACTCCCCAAACATACAAATAGCACGAGACCAAGGGAACAAATCCATCAAACTCATCATCTCCAAACTCGCGAGTTGGACGGTCCGCTCAATCGCCGCCCTGGGCACGTTAAAGGTGTCATCGGCGCGAGTGCTGTTGATGTAAATGGGTGCGGAGACTAAATCAATGTTGATTGTGACGCGCTGATAGCCATCCAAAGAAGGCCATTGAGCAGCGCAAATAAATAGGGCCTATATATACACAAAAAGCTTATGCCAAAAACATGCGAAACACATTACATATTATATAACACATTCGACATTATAGTGAACTAACACAAACTCCAAGATAGATCAACAAAGAAAACAATGAACACATACCAACAAAACTATATATGCATCTGTAATATCCCAACACGCACTATATGTTAACCTCTTGAATGGCCTATACTATACATGCCACTATGCAATAGCAAACACGTTGCATGGCGATGGTCACTCCCAAACACCGATGGCTCCCTTGGGGCCCAAGAATCTTTCTGCTCCACAACCTTGTTCTCATTCCTCAGTGGGGCATGTCTGATGGAAGCGGTGTCAGTGTGCGAAGCGCAAACGCTGGGAGGGGAGAGAGTCAGAATCATGAAGCGTGCCGCATGCCAAATGGATTCAAATGGTTTCTAGTTTGGTCTCACTGTGACTGTCCACTCTTGACATCTTCCCTCTCCGCGAACAAGTCGACCCTACCTTCTTGGCACCGAAAACGTGGACATCCAGGAAACCATCCAGCTCTAACCCCCTCAGGCTCCGGGGTCCTTCCACTTCCCACCTCATCCGAGTCTCATCGTGAACTTCCCTGAGACCCTCCGGTGAAAAGACCTGGGTTGCGCCGACACTGCTGCCTCCAACACGGCCTCCGCCGCTTGTTCTGCAGCAGCATCCAGCGGTGCGGTCTGTGCCCGCGCAGGCAGTGCGGGCGCTGCATCCAGTGGCGTGTCCGATTTCACTTCGACCGTCTTGGCAGTCATCGACCTCAGTTTGAGAAGCTATATATAGCTGGAACGATATGAAGGGAAGAGAAGACTTGAGCCCGTCACGTGTGGAAGACATGACATGAGTGGAAAAGCGCCAGGAGTCCCCGTCCTTTCAGCAAGGTGGCTCGACGTGCATCTTGAAAGGATGTAAGGAGCTCCTGAAGGGGCGAGGAGTCCGAGGAGTGGATCAGTTTCAACATCGGTCCCAGTGTCTCAGGGCCAGGCTCAGGGAACCCACCCACTATAGAAGTCAGAAACTCAAGGACAATAATCCTGAAACCACACCGGTGTGGCGGCCAAGGTCACCCCATCCACAGCTGAAAATCAACAGTTCCTGTTTTGGAGCAGGCGTTCTTGTTAGTAGTCATGGCCTCCAACCTAATAGCGATGGCCTCCACCTAGTAGCTTCTTGTTCCTAGTAGCGATGCCCTTTGTTCCTAGTAGCTTCTTGCTCCTAGTAGTAAGGCCAGGAGCCCCTACTAGCGTCCTTGCTCCTAGTAGCGATGCCAGGAGCCCCTAGCAGCTTCTTGTTCCTAGTGGCTTTATCTACAGCTCCTGTTTTGGAGTTTCTCCGGCAGCTGCTTCGTACCACGCCGGCTCTGTGCAGGGCTGGGATTCGCGCTCGCCACGGTGCCTTGGTGGCACGCGGCACGGTGAAGCGCAAATCGGTGCGATGGACTGGGATTCGCACCCAAAGGCTTAGGGCTGGATTCCCATGAATTCCCCATGTCTATCCACAGTTCATACACCTAACGTAGACTAAAGTCATAAAGTAGACCTTTCATGAAAAACCGGTGGCCCTGCAGAATGGCCATGTGGCCACGCGACGATACGAGACGTGGGAGGTATCTCGTCGGATCTTGTTGAAATGTAGTAGACGCGTTGATTAGAAACCCCCATTTAAAAACCTCGTCATCTGGGGGTGTTGAAATATAGGTTTCAATCCCAAGCAGAAAGCAAAATGCTCCGCAAGGAAGACCAAGGGGTTGTGCACTTGTGGTGTCTCCCCTCTACTATTCATCTGTTGAACATGGAAGGAATGTAGAATGGTTGGGAGAATGGAGAGACCACTTGCGGAGGACCTGATGTATATCCAACACAGCTTTCACTCAACCGTGTGCTTTCCTCGGATCGCGAGAGAGTTCTGTAGTGAGCTGTTGGCAACGTGCAAAAACACCAAGCAAACAAATGGTTGTTGGAAAATGAACCTGACCTCGAAAACGACCTTAGACGTATCAACATACTTATCAGCATATAGTTAAAGGCTGCCCGGCAAAATCCAGCCAATGGGTTTAGCATGACTTCAACTTGTCACGTCCTTTCCCGGGCATTCCTCTGCCAAATGGCTCAAAACCAGGTTCTTTTTTTCCCCGGACTTTGCCCAGCAAACCGTGACTCACCAACTCGCCAACTGACTCACCAACTCGCCTGGACTCGCTGCTTCATTCTCTGGCTTTCCCTTCAGTAGGAGGCCCAGCAAGCCACCCAGGGAGGTTCCCGCTAGACATCCGTCCAACACCATGGCGGTCGTCGGAAACGTCCAACACCAGGTGGGAAACGAAGGAAGTGATGGGCGGGTCGGTCTGAAGGGACGGTGTTCGGAGTGATATTCTGGTTGAAAGGCACCGTCAGACAGTGTTCGACACATAGTCTGACGGAAGAATGATACGGTATCACCGCAAAGTTCCAAGATATTCAGGCTTAGTTCCCTGCCCTATCAGATGCAGCACCATCGCAGCAAGCAAATACATGTGTGTCGTACCTTGTCATACCCCTTCCACCCCGTCGCATCTATCTTTTGGGTGAATCATGGTGAAATCCACTTGGTAAGAAAGTCTAAGAAACCTAAGAATGTCAAGCTGTCGCAAATGTTAACCTACGTCACTTTGGAATCCCAATTGCAGCCATGTTGGAGCATTTCTTTGCAAATGACCTGCTTCAGAGCTGTTCTTGAGATTGTAAAAATCTGACTGGGTATGCCAGTCCGATCTGGATCACTCACTGTTGGCATTGTTGCCAGTTGTTGGCTGTAAAATTGACACAAAAGTAGTACACATTACCTTGATCAATTCCTTAGTCTGTATGCTTGGCTGCCTACCTCCGAGTCTATTGATATTGATTCTGTTTATTTCGACTCATCCTAAATCTTCATCCATCAGAAACGCTCCACATCTGTTGCGGAATTCCTCCAAAATGGCCGTTTAACGGAGTAAAGCCGTTTAAACAGGTTCGACCAAAAAGCTGTGAGAATCGACAGGCTTTGATGGGCTTTCTATACTGTTGCTACTTTTTCAAGTTGACTGTTTGTCACATTCTACTTGGGAAAAAGAAAAACATCATGCCCGACAGTGAAAATGGGTATGTGGATTAGTATTCCAGTATCTGCCCATTCCGAGTGTCATGAACAGTATGGGTCTCTCCTGTCGGGTCTGTCATGGTGACGGTGTTCTCATGCGTTGATGCGCGTTGGAGGTTCCCGGAGCTAGATGTGTGTTTTTTTCTTTTCGAGGAGCACCTGGTTTCTTCATACACCTCCCAAGGGGGCAAGCCCCCTTCTCTGGAGATTCGAGAATCAACAAACTTGCTAAACTCGCTTCAAGCAAACGTGTTTCAGAGGCAAGACGGTCTCTCATTTCAAGAGGTGACTTCCTAGCATGTAACACACGTTGATGATTCATGATGCAAAACCCAGCTTCTTTGAGCACACCCCAGCTGAGCTCGTTCCTTCCTCCGTCACCATCGAGGCCCAACTCTTCGCATCTTTCTGTTTCGGCAAGGTCTGTGGTTTGCCCGGCTGCCCAGTGGGCTAAGACTAAGATCTAAGCCAATGCGTTCTATTCAGGTCAAGCAGTCTAGGGACAAGGGTCCCGTTTTGGACGCCACACGCGAGGCGTTTTTACAGTAGTCTGTCCACCCAAAAAAGTATGAAATAAAGATCTGAAGGCTGTAGCTTACTCAAGTCGCAGATCCTGACATGCGTATATGTGCATGAGGGATTTGTTTGTCTTCTAAGCAAATCCAATCCGCTATTGTGCAAATGAATCTATCTACCATGTTAGGAAGTGTTCACGGAACGTGACCACACTCATTATAATTGTATACATGTTGTATCATATTGTGAAACGATGCTTTAAACCCAGCTTCTGACCTACTTGTTCATCCAGAAAGCACCTGCGTTGCTAAGAGGTGAACACATTCTGGCAACAAACCCAGTCCCACTACTCTTGGCCCATTGGCAAGATAGACGACCCGTCCTTGTCACCACAATCTCCTTCTGGACACCAGTAACATCCAGCACTTGACGGCGACAGTCGCCACCACCGTTTCATGTCTGCGTGAAAAAATGGCTCTTTCTTCGCCATCCAACAAAACATGATAATGTTCCCTTGAACCCAACGACCCACCGTTCACAAACACGTCCACGGTGCCGAAACCACGCCTCGAAACCACGGTGCTCGCACCAAAACGCTGCTCAACGACACGAGACTCAAGGAGGCGTTCCAAATGGCCTTTGAGATGCTTCCGAGAAGCGCTCAAAGGGGCGCTGCACAGCAGCAGGAAGACAAACACTGGGTACACTGGGTGGGATATCACTCTAGATAGCAAAAGACTTATCCTCATCCCGACTCATCCCCATCCCGTCATCCGATCTCAGCAGCATGAAAATCATATGTGCAATCAACCTTTGAGGTTATCACCATCATATTGTTTATTATCTGTATCTTATCAAAATAAATGGTGATTATAGATTATGAAGACACCAAAATGATTTAAGAAAACCACAGATTAATGTCGGTGTCCTCCATCACCATTCATATTACTTATGTCTCTTATCTTTGCCTTCATGGTCTCCCATTTAATGATGATAGATGAGGATGGAGAAAGAACATATAAAGTTAAAGAGATGGGGTTGGTGATCGTTCAAGATGGGGTTGGTGATCGTTCATTTCATTCACATCGGTTGACCTAGCATGCCAGATCTAAGGTGGTCAACCGCCAGGCCAAGAGCAGGCGGCCCCAGATCCAAGAAGGGGCCCATCTGTCTCTAGGAGTTATATATACCCTTCATATGTTTGCTGCCAAAAACATGATGGTGAGGTGAGAGGAAGACGGGACCAACATCAATAAATCTATGAACCATTGAATTTATTGGTGTGTTGGAGGGTGGAACCCCTCATCTCCTCTGTTCGGAACCCTGTCGGGAGCTGAGACCTGGATTGAAGTCACTTGCCCAAGAAGAGACAAGCTTAGGTTGGTTGCCCCCAATCCCCCTAGGTCCTAGGTCCTGAGACAACATGGAATGTGTTAAGGAACAGTTTGTCATTGTAGTCCCTGAGTCCCTTACCCGGGTACTTTAGATTTCGGTTCACCCTTCTTGCATGTTGGTGGTTACAGGAAGTCACAAACACCCTCCCCCCATGAGTTCTGGCCACCTTCAGAATTTGCGCAGGTTCTAGGATGGCTCGGCGTCGCTACACCTAACAGATCACCACCACAAGAAAATAAACACAAAACATGTCAACGATGGACTCATTAGTATTTTTGTGTGCACCAATTGGCCTGCGTTCCCATATCAAACAATGCAGATTAATATATATATTTATATATAACGGTGAAAAGAAGTGATGGCCTGTTCAGAGGCATGCAAAGTTCTCAAGTTTCTTGGGGCTTTCTCACAGGTTACAAAACGATGGAACCAGCCTGGCGATCCACTGGGATACACCGGCCTTCCGCTGGCTTCGGAAGCATTGAAATAGAAACAGAAACCGATAAGGCCCTGGGCCTTCTGTGCGCGGCACGAGCGCAGAACAAACTCGATGAAGCACCATGGTCTGAGCCACGAGCGGCTCTTCAGTTGGAGCTTCCAGGTCATCGACAGGGAAGCCAAATGGACAGCGCTTTCTCTTCACTGATGGACCAACATGTTTCCTCGCGCGGGAAGAAATTCACAGTGCTGCACAACTCCCCACCGTTCTGACCACCCCTGAACAGTCTTTCAAGCGGTCTTTCCGAATGGACCTAATTTACAACTTGTATTATACTATATTATATACTGTGTATATATAATATCATCTGATCCTTCTCGCCTGCATTCATGCATTTGCTATCTGTGTTCATTCAATCAAGTCTGTTGGTGCCTCTGAGTCTGTACTTTGACTGGGGGACTTCTGGTACAAGTCTGGCTGGCTTGAGTTCTACACGTACTCAAGGATGAGTCTAGGTATAGGCCCGCTTCAGGCTTCAGTTGCTGCAGGCGCATCCTGTGTCTCCATGAATCATTGCACCAAACTGCAGAACTTGCACATTCCACTGCTCCCTGCACATGACCACCAAACGTCCCGCTTTCGAGGGATTCTTCTTCGATGCGGCGCATCAGAACATCGGCAGCATTGCGCAGGATGCACGAACTGAAGGTCCTGGTAATGTCTTTTTTGGGGATCTCCCCTTTTTGGCGAACCATTGGGTCTCGGGTGCCCAAGCTGACCAGCTAGCCTTCGTACAGCCACAAGCGGCAGAATTCTCGGGCATCTGGACCATTTGACCTGTCTTCCTTGTTTTCCTTGTTTCTGATAGTGATGGCCTCAAACCTAATAGCGATGGCCTCCAACCTAATAGGAAAGGCCTCCAACCTAGAAGCGATGGCCTTCAACCTACGTTATGTGCTCTTTTTGGCTCGCAAGTTGAACCAATGAACTTCGAGTTTGGGATTTTTTGTTGGAGAAGTCGGAGAAGTGGTCTTCTGATGTGTTCTCGGCTACGCATTGAGAAGCTTCCAACGCCTGTAGATTGGATGCCGAGGTGCCGTGGTGCCTCCTTGCGCGTTTTGGCTGCCAATGTTCCAGCCTACTGACTTGAAGTCGCGCCGGGGTTAGGAACTGGCCACGGTTCCAGACACTCCAGTGGGATGCTGGTGCACCAACAACAAATCAGTCATCTTCCTTTGACACACTGAGCCAAAGCACTGAAGCTACGACAAGCAGAGTACTGTATGGGTTCTTTTCAGTGTGCGTCTTAATCAAGCTGCTAGAACTGAGCACAGGGTATTTCTACCCTGTTTTGAGACACACCCAAATTATCACCTCTGCAGATTCTCAAAGAATTTGTGTGGATCTTTGTCACTTCATACTGCCAGGTCATCTCACTGTTCGAGCAAGGTGGTTCTTGAACCCAGCCCCTTCGTCACGTCCGGTCACGTCCCACTGGCAAGGAGGCCACAAAAACCACTGCCCCCTGGAAGATCTGCTTCTCTCGTGGATGAAGGGACCGCGAGCTGTTGACCCCGAGGGGCAGAAAACCGGAAAGCGGAGCAGAAACAGAAGACGTTCTTTTGCAACGATCATCGGCTCAAGGACCATGAACTGCTGTCTTTCGGTGTTTGTTTTAAGTATTGCAGCTTTGGAGGGATGCATTCCAACGGTGACCACCTGCGGCTTCTGAGCTGTTGTGAATGAAGTTCAAAGTTTTATGTCAATGTTTATGAAGTGTGCCCTTTCTGATTGTGAAAGTTACAAGTGGAAAAGTATTCTCTGAGAGAAAACTAGGGTTTTGATCCCCTCT